TTTCCAATTCCTTTTCCCACTTGCATGCAGCAGAACGTCCCGGGGGCCCTCAGGGGCCCCGGGGGGCCCCAGGGGGCCTCGCGGGGCCCCTGGGGGCCCCCGGGGGGCCCCTGGAGGGTACTAGGGGGCCCCTCTGGGGGCCCCCCTGGGGCCCCCTGGGGCCCCCTAAAGTCCCTTTTGGGGCCCCCCGGGGGCCCCCTGAGGCCCCTGGGTTGTCTAAATGGTATATAAAGAAGGCGAGGTTTTAGTTATGTAGTTAGTTTGTTTTTAGAATTTGAACTTGAGTTTAATTATTGATTTTTTGGTAAATATAAAAAATGGATTTGGTTCTGAAAAGATAAGAATTAAGTGGCTTTTTGGGCCTCTATTAACCCGCGGAAATAAAAAGACAAATGAACAAATGAAAGAAACTTCCAAGGAGAAAAAAGCAGAAAAAGCCGCGAAACTTTTGGTGCATGCATGCATGCATGCATGCATGCATGCATGCATGCATGCATGCGTTGTGGTGTACGTACACCTGAGTTTGGCGCTGTTTGCAGAAGCCTTTGAGAGCAAAGTGGCTGTCTGTTGGATGGAAATGAAATTTGTTTGAAAGAAAAACAAAAGCAGAAATAATTAAAACTAATCCTAAATAAATAAAAAGTCTTTTCTATTTTTTTTAGGATCTTCTTTCTTTACTCCGCATGCAGAACTTTTCATTGAAAGTTCCTGAGGTGTACATACACCGGGAGTGCCTCCAGGTGTATGTACACCTCAGTGCACGCGCATGCAAACCCCGAAAAGCTTTAATTGTCTCTTTTTGAACCAATTGTTCGAAATAAAGTTCCAAACATTTTAGAAAAGATTAAAAAGCTGAAGTGTTTGAAGTTGAATTTGAAGCTCAAAAGCTCAAAAAAACTCCATTAAATGCGCACAAAGGGACTTCTTGTCTTCAAGTTCTTCTCTTTTAAATCCTGGCTTTAATTGCGTTTATTTTCCATTTAAAGCTCTTCAATTGCATGCAAATGCATGCGTTTGCATGCATGCATTTGCATGCATGCAAAGCCCCAAAAGGCTTCGCCGGGCGCATGCAGCCGCTGCGTCCGGGTGTACAGACAGCTCGGCGCAGCGGCGCGCCAACGCCCACTTCTTTTTTTTCGGATTTTTTCATTTTGAGTTCTTTTTCTTCGCCAAAAAGAGACTTTTGCATCAAAAGAGATGCCAAAAACGAATTTGGAGACTTTAAAAGCCTCAAGTGGTTCTTTTTCCTCCTTAAAAGGACCCGAAATTCCCTTTTTGGCGTTTGAAGCGCTCTGGGGGCCTCTTTCGGGTGTACGTACACCTCAGAGTGCACCAGAGCCACTCCCAAGACACTTAAAATTCACTTTTTTCATTTTTCCAAAATAAAGTCCCAAAATGGTCTTTTTTGTTCTTTTTAATGCATTTGAGGGGCCCCGGGGCCCCCAAAAGGTCTTTAAACCCCAAAGAGGGCCCCAGAAAAGCCAAAAAACTTCAGAATTTTCGCAAAGTCCCAAAGAAAGAAGATGCTTTTCTAATTCTTTAAATTCATTTAAAGACTTTGAAAGCTTTTTTGAGACAAAAAGTCTTTTTTAATCTTTCCAAACTCACTTGGAGTCTCTTTGAGATTAAAAGCCCTTTTAAATGTCTTTAAATGCGTTTGGAGATGTTCAGAAAAGACTTTTGTCTCTGAGAGAAAAATGCAAAGTGGATTTGGAAACAGAAATAAAATATGTTTTCTCAAAATGAATTATCTTTTGCTGCAGTTATATTTCAAACCATTCAAATATAAATCCTTTTGGAGACAAAAATGGTTTAAAATATAACTGCAGCAAAAGACAATTCATTTTAAAAAAACAGAATTTATTTCTCGAGTTTTTAAATCCTTTTTTGGTTCTTTTAGTGATTTAAATGCCAATAAAACCCTTTTTTGGGGCTTTTAAATGCATGCAAAATGGAAATTAAATGAATTAAATCAAAGTGGAAAACTGTCTCCAAAGAGACTTTTAAAAAGGAAGTTTTGATGAAAGAAATTCAAATAAACCATTTTCGCATTTTGCCACTTCTAGCCACTTCTGTCTTGTGCGCATTTCAGATTTCCGCGGAGTGCATTAAAGCCAAAACGAGGCGAATAAAGTGAATAAATAAATAAATAAATAAATAAATAAATAAATAAATAAATAAATAAATAAATAAATTGTTTTTATTTATTATTTCGAATTAAATTTACTTTTATTTCATTTATTCGATGAAATAAAAGGCTTTTCGCTTCATTCCGCAGTTTCAAGATTTCGTGGAGTGTCTAGACACCCCATCCTGAGCTCTTTCTGCTCCGTTTCGACGAATTAAGTTCCAATAAATCATTTTTTTTGATTTATTTGAATTAATTTGAATTTATTTCATTTATTTGTTTTATTTTGTTCAATTTAAGTCCATTTAAATCGTTTTCTGCAGCAGGAGGGCCCCCGCGGGTCTCGCGGCAGCGTACCCTAGCCGTTCACGGGGCCCCCTTGGGTCTTTTTTACCTCTTTTTGAAGATAAAAACAAAATTAATTCAATTAAATAAACAAATTAAACATTTGAGGCTTTTTTCCACCTTTTTTCCTCGTCAAAAGAGCCATTTAAGAGCTCTGGGACCCCAGGGGCCCCCAGGGGCCCCCAGGGGCCCCGGGGCCCCCGGGGCCCCGGGGCCCCCGGGGGCCCCCGGGCCCCGCACCGTCTTCTTGGGTACTGAAAGGGTATTTAGAGCTGCAGAAGAGAAACTGGAAAAGAAAAAAAAGAAATAAAAAAGAAAATAAATAAATTAGGAGCAGCAGAAGAAGGAAGGGCCCCGTTGCTGCTGCTGCTGCTGCTGCTGCTGCTGGGGGCCCCCGAAGTACCCTTTTTTGGACTGCTGCATGCAGCGGGGGGCCCCCAAATACCCTTTTATTTGCTGCATGCAATTTGGGGCCCCAAAAAGAAAAAAAGAAATTTTGGAAATTTGGAAAAGGAATGAAAGTGGACTCGGGCCGTCGAGCTGTCTAGACACCCCGCGCCTTGCCCTGTAGGCCTACTTGAATTTATTTAAATTAATTTAATTAAAGGATTTAATTTAAAGTCTGTTAAAAGATTAATTCAATTTAAAATAATTTAAAGACTAGTTTAATTTAAAAGCTAATTAAAGATCGATTTTATTTAAAAAGAAATAAATTCAGTTTTTTAAAGACAAGTGGAACCCAAAGGAGACAAAAGGAAACAAAAAGGAGACAAAATGAACTTTAAAAAATAATTAAACTGAAGACAAACAAATAGAATTAAAAAGAAACAAATAGAATTAAAACGAGACAAAAAAGAAATAGGTAGAATTAAAAGGAAACAAATAGAATTAAAAGGAAACAAATAGAATTAAAAAGAAACAAATAGAATAAAAATGAAACAAAAAGAATTAAAAAGAGATAAATAGAATTAAAAGGCGACAAATAGAATTAAAAAGAGACAAATAGAATTAAAAAGAGACAAATAGAATTAAAAAGAAACAAATATGATTAATGGGGAAACGAGGAAAATAAAAAGGAGAAAAAAAGAATTTAAAAAGATGAAAAGAATTAAAAGGAAATAAATAGATTTAAAAAGAAACAAAAGAATTAAAATTAAACAAAAGGAATTAACAAAAAGACAAAAAGAGTTTTAAAATTTTATTTTGTTTAAGGGAGATTAAATACACAAAAAAGGTTAATGTCTTTGACAAAAGAATTAAAAAGAAACAAAAAGAATTTAAAATGATAAAAGATTAAAAAGAAACAAAAAGAACTTAGAAGAATAAAAGATTAAAAAGAAACAAAAAGAACTAAAAACGAACCAAACATTAAAAAGAAACAAAAAGAATTGAAAAAGAAACAAAAAGAATTCAAAAGAAGAAAAGAATTGGAGAAATAATAATATTACCAGATAAATAAAATTATTTAATTTTATTAAAAATAGAAGACTTTAAAAGAATTAAAAGGGGACAAGAAGAATTTCAAAAAGATTTCAAATTTTAAAAGAAAGAAAAAGAATTCAAAATGATAAAAAGAATTAAAGTAAAACAAAAAGATTTAAAAGGAGACAAAAAGAAGCAAAAGGAGACAAAATGAATTACAATTAAAAAGAAATAAAAAGAATGAAAGTAAAAAGAATTAAAAAGAATTAAAATTATAGAAAATAAAAAGAATTAAAAAGAAACTAAAGGAATTAAAATAAAAAAGAAATAAAAATGAAATTAAAGGAATTAAAACAAGAAGAAGCAAAAAGAATTAAAATAAAAAGGAAATAAAAAGAATTAAAATAAAAGAAATAAAAAGAATTAAAATAAAAAGAAATACTATTTTGAATTGTAATCATTAAAAAGGACACAAGAAGAATGGTGAAAATAAAAAAATTAAAAATTAAATAAAAGTAAAAATAAAAGGGGACAAAATCATTTGGAGACAAAAGGAGACAATTTAAAAAAATAAAAATATTTATTTTAATTTAAAAATAAAAGAAAAAATTTTTAATTAAAATTGCAAAAATGAATGAAAAAGAATACGGGAAATAAACAATTAATTAGTTGAATTAATTAATTTTAGTAATTCATTAATCGATTCATCAAGTTAATTAGTTAATTAATTAATTAATTAATTAGTTAATTAATAAATTAATTAATTAATTAATTAACTAACAAACTAGTTAATTAATTCGTTAATTAGCTAATTACGTAATTAATTAGTTAATTA